TTAAACCTTGATATATTGAGTGGCTCATGATAAAAATTATCCGTATATTCTTACAATTTCATTATTCTGTATTATTTATACATAATATTAAAATTAATTTATGTAAATTTATAGTATTAAGGGAAATCCAACAACCTTTGGGAGCCAAAATACAATTGGAACTAAGTAAATATAAAATTTAACAGTTATAAGAAAACAAATTTTAAATCTTTAATTCCTTAACTCTAAATTAAATTTAAGCTCAATCATATTATCGCTTTATGTTTTTCGCATAAGCCTAAATTCGAAATATAATTTAAGTCGTTAATTCAAAAGTTGCTATTAGAAATAAATGAATAATATTGCAATATTTGGCATTAATAATTTAGTTAATTATTCTCAGTTTTAGAGTGATTGTTATTTGATAAATTTGTTACAGATATTCCTGTTCCTGCAGTTCCAGACGAAAGTAATTACCAATTTTTCGATATTCGTTAATAGCCTTTAAGTATTGTTCAGAGTTGAAATTTTTTTATAATTTTAATAGCAAACAATAATTATTAATGATATAAATATTATTTCTATAGTATTAATACTAGTTATTATTGTTCTTATTTTTTATCAACACAATCATTTAATATTATTGCAGATTTTATAAGATTAGATTTGGATGAGCTTGGAGTGAAAAGAAGAGAATTTACTAGAACAGCTTTAAAAAATATATTGAACCGAACAATAAGTAAATGCTTATTAATTAAGCATAAGTTAATTCTTTTATCACAATATAATTATTACAATAAATATTAACATTAAAATTTTGGACGGCGTAATTCAATTTGTATTGCATTATTTGACCACTTTCGTTATTAGTATTGGAATATATTTGCTTAAACTTTTTATTATAAAATTCGAATTAAGTAACAATGCTTTGTTCAAGCTTCAAATCTAAAGGCTTATTGTACAAGAAAAATAGTAATATCTAAGTTATTTGGACTGTATTGCAATTAAAAAACTATTACCAGCACATAGCAACAAAATGTTTATTTTAAATACTTATTATTTTATATCAACGCCGTTACATAAAACCTCTTACAGATTATAAAGAACCAGAAAATGTGACACATCTTATAAATGAGAGAAGAAATCTTGGTACAGACACTTTCGAAAATAGAATCAGCAGAGCATTAGGTAAATATTATACAGTTTGATCATTTATCATAAACCATATATATATATATAATACCATACATACATATATAAGATACTTATAGAGTTCAAAAATAAATAAACTTTTTTTTACTATTCAAATTTTTTTCGTTATGTTTTTATGCAATTTGTTCTCAATTTTGTACAACTTATTTTCATAATAGCGACTACTTAAACTTAATTATGGTAACTACTTAATTGGTATTTTAATAAAGATAATTCACCGCAATCTATCAAGCATACCGCTGATTTTAAGTTTTAGCAATAAACATAATAAATAATAACTAGAACACAAATTTGTAAAGTACTAAGTTAAGCGAGTTAAAAAAAAAAAATTAATTTTTTTTTTAGCTGGACCTGAAAAAGAAATATCTTTGCATTGGATGTGTCGTTTGATAGCATTGTTCATGAGTACAAAATACCCAGGGTCACATATAAAAAATATTCAGATAAACTCTGATGGTACTTGTATCCTAAAAGATGACTACTGGTATAGTAGCTCTACACATAAAAAATACAAAAAAATTGAAGGGCAATGGTACCAAATCATCGGTGATGTAGTAGGACAACCACTTAAGGAACTATTATGATAATTATACATGTTTTTTTTTATTTATATAATACTTGCATTTTGCATTATTATCAAGTTGTTAATTTACAGTTTAATGTAAATTATAATAAACTGTTTTACCATGATTATAATTACATTTGTTAATTATGTTTTGATTTAATCAGACACCTAATATTTTTACTATATTATACAGACCGGTTTGAAGTATTCGTTTGAATCAAAATGTATCTATCCTTTGTATCTACCCATCTGTCGACATTTTTTTGCTTTTATTTATTTCTAGATTGTTTCGAGTCATTCAGCACTACGTCCTTCTATCCCTACGGTCGGAATATTTAGTAAATCAATAATTCATAAAAAATGACACTGGTATATTTAATGTAACTCAAGGGTTGAAGATTTGGTAAAATGTTTTGTAATTTTCAATTTGTATTTTCCGTGTTTGTGTGTGTTTTAAATTATAATGTGGGAGACAGCAAGGATAAAAACGTGTATGATTATAATAGAATTAACAAAAACATGATTTTATTCAATTTTATCACTTTTATTTATAATAATCTCTGTAAACCTGTGACCTCCCCGTCCCCACTATAGAATCTTTTTAACAGACGACAACCTTACTTATTTTACATGTAAAAAACCGGGCCATACTTCTTCTCACTGTAAATAATTCGCTAAAGAAATCTAACTGTATACTTAACGAAACTGAAGTAACCCCAGAAACTTCCTACAGTATGACTTTATCCCAATAAAATACACCAACCAGAGAGCAACCACACAGAGCTTGATCAACTCACTACTTATCCAGTAGTACTCATTACATTCCCTCGGTCACTAAGAATAAATAAAATAATAAATTCCAACCCCCTCGAAATAGCGGACACACTAGGCAAAACTTTAAAAAAAAAAACAGTACTAACATAAATTACGATAAAGACTTCTTGGAATACAAATCAACAACTGAACTACACCCGACTACCATAATAAAAGACTCATCACATCCGCTTAACAGCGCATTTTAACTACAAGAACTTTATGAAGCACTCCAAGGCAGAAAAAGTAAAAGTTCCGGATAGTATACCATTTATTTTCTTACAAAAAACTTTCACTGCTCAGCACACAAACCTTACTAAACATATGTAACACAATCTGGTCATCAGGTAACTTTACTTCTAGCTGGAAAACAGCTATAATTATTCCTATACCCAATATCTCTATTATGCAAAATGAGTAAAACACTTGAAAAAATAGTTGGCACTAGAATCAGATGGTTCTTAGAGTCAAACAAACTCTTAGCTATAGAACAAAGTGGTTTTAGAAAAGGCCGTACGACAATTGACCCTCTAATTTGCTTACACAATGAAATATGCAGTGCATTTATAAATATAACAGCCGTGTATCTAGATCTAGAAATAGTGTATGATATGGTATGGGGCAGACGTGTACTAAATAATCTGTTAAATTGGGACATCAACGCGGATCCACCTTAAAATTCGTTCAAAACTTCATAACAAATCGGTCCTTTTTTGTCAAAGCCAATGACAGCACATCCAAAACCTTTACGAACTACAATGGACTCCCACAAGGCTCTTCTTTAAGTGTAACCCTCTTTTTAGTGGCAACTCTACAAAACAGTCGCCAACAAAACTAAGTATCCTCGTAGACGACATTACAATTTATCGCCGTGGAAAAAACACAAAAGCCCACACTTCTCCAGGAATACCAAATCCAAACCTCCGCTGTTAAAATTAAACAACGATAATATTCCAAATACCAACCAAATTAAAACTATCTTACATTTAAAAAAAAGCTTACTTGGAAACCACATATAAAAGAAATTAAAAATAAAGTATGGCCTAGCTTTAAGATCATTAAATCATTATCCCACACCTACTAGGGCGCTAAGAAAAATATATTACTTAGAATCCATCACACTATCATACTACCCAAAATAGAATATGGTTCAATAGTCTTCAGCTCAGCAAATCAAAAAACATTGAAACGACTAGAACCACTTCACAACCTAGGACTTCGGCTAGCATCGGGAGCGTTTCGCACTAGTCCGACGGAAATTATACTATGCAAACTGAATGAATTGCCACTAGAATTAAGATACATCAAAACCACACTAAATTTCGTCTCACGCACATAAAGAAATGCAGAATACCCTGTAAACACAAATCTTAGATCCCCTTTATACCAACCAATAGAAACAATCTCATCAAAGACACCGCTAACTCAACTACAACGTTTCATAAAATATAGTAAGGCAGTCCAGCTTCCAACAATAAAGACAATACATATAAAAACATCAAACATCCATACTGTAAAATAGACCTTCGATCAAGAGTCGATACAAAATTAACAGAGTTAAAAAAAGCAAACACAGATCAGGAAACCTTTCTAAGCAAGTTTAATAACACCATTCGAACCGAATTTTTCGATTACCAACCGATTTACACTGATGCGTCACGATCCAAAAACCGGAGTAGGAATAGCCATTGTTAACATTGAAAATATAAATCAATATAAAATGAACAATTTGATTAACATCTTTTCAGCGGAAGCCCTGGCTATATGTAAAGCAATTGAACTAGCATCCTGACTAAACTTTAACAAAACAATCGTCATTAGCGACTCTCTCAGTGTTTTGGAGGCAGTCAAAAACAACAAAACAAATAACGAAATAATCAAACAAATATAATCCTCCACATGTTCTCAACCAACTCAAATTATCCGGTTTTGGGTACCCTCTCATACTAACATCCCACAAAATGAAACGGCAGCAATAGAGGCATCAACAAACACACATATACCACTGATTCTTTATGTTCCATACGCTGACTCAAAAACACTGATAAACGAGCTTTGTGCAAACAAATGGCAAAATAAATGGGATGACATAGAAAATCAATAAACTGAAATCATGTAAAACATCTATAAAAAAAAATGGAACGCCTAACAAGACTTCGAATTGGCCACTCAAACCTCACAAAAATCATATAAACAATTATTATGCAAACGGCTAATGGACTAATGTTGAAAATGTCGATAAAATAGCATGGACGAAATTTTAGTGAAAATTATTTTATGTAAATCGTTAAAAAAAATAATAAAATAAAAACTCCACGTCAGTGTAGTATAAATATGTTAAACATATTGAAAAAAATAACCAGCTATGTAAACTAACATAAAGGCACAATGCAAATTATACTACGATTTACTGTTTTAGTCGACAAGAAAGTCACATCGATACAATTAAACAGGCTGATAATTTTCTTAAAAGTTAAATACATTTAATAATTTAAGTAAGTAACACTAACAAGCTTAAAAGTTTTAAGTCCGCTTGTAATAATACAATATAGGTAAATATTAAAAAGATTTTTTTTTAAATGCGTGTTTTAGATACAAAATTGTATTTTTTTTTTTTTGTTAAATATTATACATTATGTCTCTAAGTTATTATTTATTTTTAGTGGCAAATTAAATGAAAATAAAATTACAGTTAGGTATTTAAAATAAATAAAACTGTTGAAATATGAATGGTAATTACTGGATATTAAACATCAATTTCTTTATAAAAACACTTGACGATGACATTTTGGAGAGCATGCAATACTAAACTCTTAATTTATCACTGTTTGACTTAATATGCAGTATTGAAAACTATATGTTTTTGTATTTTGTTTTTACGCTTATAATTTTACATCTAAAAATTTTGTGAACATACAGCGTTGCATATTCTGTGACGGGACGCTAATTATTATTGAATGACCCCCAGCTCAAAATATATTCATGTTAAAATTTAGCTGCCCAAGAAAAATTGTAGGGTTTTTAAAAAAAAAAAAAGTATTTGTCTACAAAAAAAAAAGGTCTTGTAATAGTGCTAAAACCTTCACGACTCTGGTGGTGACTATTACTACTAATACAGGGTGATAATTTTATCGTGAATCAATCAAGGTTTAATAACAAATTTAATTTTTCTTTTCATACAATGCAATCTCAATTTTTCACAACTTTTGTTTTGTTTTCATCCCCACCCTATCTAGTTTATTTGATAGCAACTTTTGAAACTTAAACGGTAACGCATACATGTATGTAACTTTTTAAATTGAGAATAATGTACTAAAAATGTTAACTGGTTGATAACCAGTTAAAACAACTACTTTTGAAGTAATAAGAATTAAAAAGTTAAGGTGGAAGGAGAAGTGCGAGCAGATAAAAATAATTTTACACTCCGCCTTTCCTCCCGCCCTAAACTTGAAACTTCAATAACTTAAAAAATAGTAATCCAAAACCAGTTTTGGATAGTTGTTTGAAACTGGCTATCGACCAGTAAAAATGTCCAGTACATTACTCTTAATTCAAAAAGTCAATGTATGCGTTACCTACCATTTAAGTTTCAAAAATTGCTATCAAAAAAACTAAGTGGGGTTAACACAAAATTATGAAAATTGAGATCACATTGTACAACAACAACATTATGGAATATTAAAATTAATGTTCTTATAAAACCCTTTGAGATATAGAGTAGTTCACGATAAAATGATCAACCTTGATCATTTATCAACCTGTAGAAAATGTATTTATGCTTATTCTTATTTACAGGTAAAAATGAAACTTTGCAGTTTTTTAATATCATTTGCCTTTTTAAATGTTTCATCATATACTACTAAAAGTAAATATTTTTTATACACACTTAGAGTAGTTAAAAAGTAGTGAAAATTTTAAAAAAATTCAATATTTCTCTCTTTTACAGTGGAGTATACGAAGGATGTTGCCATTACAAGTCAGAAACATTTTTATTATTTAAAAATAATAACAATTATAATTATAAAATAGTTTTGATGTTTTTATACATTTTTTTTTTTTAATTATGTACTGCAGACGCACATATTAGGCTTGCTTCTATTATGAATAACTTTACTATAAGAGACAAAGTTGTATTAAGTAAGATATATTTTTTATTAATATAATAGTATATAATTATTGTTTTGTTATATTTATTTGATTGTCGAGTTATTTAAAAAATTAAAGGTTAAGAGTATCCACATTTCATGCAGATACATCAATACATGGATATGTCCTGATAATTAAATGATTAAAAATTATAGTTTCTATATACAGTTAAGAAATGTGCACTGGGTATATAGTACCAATGTTCTAAATACTATATGGTTTATTAAAGTTATACAAATTATTTACAATTAAAGTAATGGCATCTATAATTTCATACACTTGGCTTTAGACAGGGATTATTCAAAGTAACAGGGGAAGTAGTGTTAAGTTAAATAGTTATCATTTAAAGAAAGATGAAAGAAAGTGCTAGTTATTCTGATGATTTTTTTTAAATATTGAAATTTTGTTAAATACTTGTATAATAGTTCGAACCTTTATTTGGTTATTTCAGATGGATTGGAGCACGTTATTAAAACTATTATTGCGAAAAGACAAAATTATTTAGGTAGTTATACAATAATAACGAACAGTAGTAAAAAAGTATTTGAGAATTATATAAAATTTACAATTTAATATCATCTTTGTGCAAATGTATAAGTAATATAAATTATACGTTTATCTTTAGTATCTAAATGGAATCTTTTTTTTTAAATAATGATGTCATATTTATCTATTAATTATATTATCGCCACAACTGGTTCAATTCAGCAATTTTATTATTTCATTTATTTAATATAATCGAACCAAGCGTATTTTTTCCAAGTTACTAATACCTTTGTTTTTTACCTTTATTATTATATAATAGAAAATTAAATCCATTATTATTCATTAATGCAATGTTGATTTCAGAACGTATCAATAACATGTTCACTGTACCGGGTAATAATTTTCAATAAACATAAAGGAAATATTTCTACACAGTCAAACATATCCATTAAGTACACAATGTTTTTGTATTAATTTCAGAATATCTACCCCCTAATACCGACTGGTGTGGTAAACACATATTTATATTTTATATTTACAATGATTTGCAGTAATTTATTTTTGATAAAAATGATGGAAAATAATCATATTGTGTATACATACGTCATAATAGTTTCAATCAAAAAGAGTACATTTTTAAAATTGTATTTATTTAAATTTACAGCGTTAAAGGTATTCCAAAAAGATTTGCAAGAAGTAATAAAATTGGAATTAGGTAAGTATATAATTTTAAAGTTTTAATCAACATTCTTAAAATCTTTTATTCTTTTTACTCTAAGAAAATTGATAAAAATTAAATTAAAGTTCAATCATATTATCGCTCTTTTATTTTTCGCATAAGCCTTAATTCGAAATGTAATTTAAGTCGTTAATTCAAAAGTTGCTATTGGAAATAAATGAATACTATTACAATATTTCGCATTAATAATTTAGTTAGTTATTCTCAGTTTTAGAGTGATTGTTATTTGATAAATTTGTTACAGATATTCCTGTTCCTGAAGTTCCAGACGAAAGTAATTACTATTCGTAAATAGCCATTAAGTATTGTTTAGAGTTGAGATTTGCTTTAAATTTGCCAAAATTAAGTTGGTGAGAGAGAATGAGACATTATTCCCATTTACGGTGATATTTTAAACATCATGTTTTAAATGAATATTTACCTCATTAAAAATACTATGTATATATATATACAGGGTGTAAAGTATAGTACCGAGCTATAACCTTAGTGCGATTGTTATTTGATAATAAATGATATTATAATAAAAAAAAATGTAACAATAATTATTATTGTTACAGATATTCCTGTTGCTCTAATTCCAGGCGAAAGTAAATACTCATTTTTCGATATTCGTAAATAGTCTTTAAGTATGGATTAGAGTTGAGATTTGCTTTTTGTCTATATTTTTAATGATGTAAAAATTAAGTCGGTAATACAGAATGAGACGTTATACCCATTTACGGAATTTTTTTAAACGTCATGTTTTTAAATTAATTTTTACCTCATTAAAAAAAAATTATACATACCTTTTGACTAGACAGTTTAGGTTAACTCATTCGGGTTTCGCCCTTTACACACTTCCAGTGTTGACACTTCTTAGGAGAAAGATGAACGAAAAAATAGGTGATTAGATCCGATGGAAATTGTTTTGAAGACTGTTGGTGTAAGTGAAAAAGATGTGGAGATGGTGTTGAGTGGACCAGTTTAGCACAAGGTTGGCCGGCCCCAATTATCTGGGGCCAGGAAGAATAGGAAGAGATCAGAGATGAAAGAGTCATTGACTTATATTCATATAATTATATAAGCATTAAGGGAATTTGAAAAACGTTTCCGAGACGTCATACAATTGGAATTATGTAAATTTAACAGTTTTAAGCGAACATTTTTTTAATATATTATTCCTTTGCTCTAAAGAAAAACGATAAAAATTAAATTTAAGCTCAATCATATTACCGCTTTATGTTTTTCGCATAAGCCTTAATTCGTAATATATTTTGAGCCGTTAATTCAAAAGTTGCTATTGGAAATAAATGAATAGTATTACGATATTACGCATTAATAATTTAGTTAGTTATTCTCAGTTTCGGAGTGATTGTTATTTGTTATATTTGTGACAGATATTCCTGTTCCTGAAGTTCCGGACGAAAGTAATTACACATTTTTCGATATTCGTAAATAGCCTTTAAGTATTGATTAGAGTTGAGATTTGCTTTTTTTTTTTTATATATTTTTAATGACAAGCTGTAATTTTTAATGAAACAAAAATCAAGTAGGTGAGAGAGAATGAGACATTATTCACATTTAAGGTGATGTTTTGAACATCACGTTTGTAAATGAATTTTTACTTAATTGAAAAAGAAAAAAAACCAGTACAGTGAGGTCGGGGCATAGTGGGCCAACTACTGGCAAATTTTCAACTTAAAGGTCTTTAAATGACGGCTAAAAAACTAAAAAAACGTGAACCCACCTCTAGGGGGGTGGGAAATGAGTTTAATTTAAACTTGATACAACTGACGTGTGCGGGCATACCAAATAAATATTTTTTTTTAATTTCAACTCGATCCGACTTTTTTTCTCGAAATTATAGCCAGTAAAAGTTCTAATTTAAAAACTCATACGGTTTTTTTTTTCAAATTTCGACTGTGAAGAAGTAAACTTTTTCAACTTTACCCCCCCCCCCCCTAAAGTATCAACTAGATGAAATTTGTGATTTATAGAGTCGCTGCTCGAAGGAATTGGTTCAGTATTAAAAAAAACACACATCAGAGTAAAACCAATACCTTCTCGCTTTGCATCGAAGCTAAAAGTTACAGTGTATACAGACAAAAAAAAACACATCAGAGTAAAACCAATACCTTCTCGCTTTGCATCGAAGCTAAAATATATATAATTATTTATGTGAATAAATTGTAATAAATATATATTATTCATATAGTATTAATATTAATAAATATTATTAACTATCAACACGGTCATTTAATAATTTTTTGCAGATTTTATAAAATTAGATTTGAATGAGCTTGGAGCGAAAAGAAGAGAATTAACTAGAATAGCTTTAATAAATATATTGAAGCGAACAATAAGTAAATGCTTATAATTTAAATAAGTTAATTTTTTTATCACAAAATAGTTATTACAATAAATATTTACAGTTAAATTTTGGACGGCGAAATCCAATTTTTATTTCGATTGCATTAGTTGACCACTTTTGTTATTGAAATAGCAATATATTTGTTTAAACGATTTATTATGAAATTCGAATTAAGTAAGAATGCTTTGTTCAAGCTTCAAATCCAATGGCTGATTGTACAAGACAAATAGTACTGTTAAAAGTTCTTTGGACTATAATGCAATTAAAAATCTATTACCATCGTGAAGCAGCTAAATTATTTTAAATTTCTATTATTTTGTATCAACGCCGTTATTTATTAACTGTTGCAGATTGCGGAAAACCAGAAAAAGTGACACATCTTATAGCTAAGAGAAGTCATCTTGGTACAGACACTTTCGAAAAAAGAATCAGCCATACATTAGGTAAACATTGTACGGGGTGATCATTTTATCCTTTATATTTTCGAGCAGTGAGTCAGCATATCCTCATTTCCCCTCCCCTCCTTCTATCTACAATATATTTCCTCAATGTGACTTGTACTATAAAGAGATGTGGTACTAAGTTTTGGTAACTAAGTTTGTCGAACTGAAAACCATTTTTTTATTTTATAGCTGGACCGGAAAAGGAAATATCTTTACAATGTATGTACATTTTGATAGCATTGTTCATGAGTACAAAGTACCCAGAGTCGCATATAACATATATTCAGAAAAACTCTGATGGTACTTGTACCCTGAAAGATGACTACTTTGAAGAAGAATTCAAAACATACAAAACATACGGGATAATTGAAGGCCAATGGTGCCAATTAATCGACAACGAAGTACAACCACTTAAGGAACTGTTATGATAATCATACACATTTTATTTGGTTTAAATCATTTTTGTCGAAGTTGTTAATTCACAATTTAATGTAATCTCAATAAACAGTTTTAGTCAAGATTATAATCACATGTGTTGCTTGTGTGTTAGTATAAACAGACACTTGACATTTTTACCATATTATACGGATCGGTTTAAAGTATTCTTTTTAGAGAATACAAATTTATCTGTTCCTTGTACTCACCCACCCGTCGACATTTTTTTGTATTTACAATTTGTTTTCAGTTATTCAGTACTACATGTATCTCTATTGAATATGGGTTGTTCACTTTCAACGTACTTGGACAGTGTTTAACAAATTTTCATTTAAATTTCGATTTTAGCCTCCATGCGGCGCTAAGATTTTTTAGTCTGTTTCACTGTACCGGTTTTTTTCGATTAGTAACTCTTTAAATCACAAACTCTTAGGTCTTGTTGGGTACCTTGGGTGGTGAAAAATGCGAAAGCGTTTACTCCTTCAATCAAATAAAAAAGACAGTACAGTGGGGCGAGACATAGCGGTGACGGAAAGGTTACAGGATAGGTTTACAGTACTAATATAACTTTCAAATTAAATGCGTGGATAGTAAGCTCAAATCAGGCACAGTAAGAAAGTATAAAAGTGAGGTGCAGTCGTGAGTGTCAAAGGGTTTATTTGAAATTATAAAGACGGATTACCTAATCGATAAAATCAAATTCTTTAACCCATTCATGCCCAGGAGTATGCAGGTACTTATACTAGTTTGAGGTCGAACAATGGTAGTATAATATAAATGAACGATCAAGGTTTGTTATAGACACCGAAAACCGGTGTCCTACATAAAATCACAACTCCGCTTTGGTCTAATGTAAACAGGTATGTAGTGGTAAAAAACAACCAGCTATGTAAACTAACGTAGTTACACTGCAAAATACGTTTCTGTATTTTACTTGTAGATCGAGAAAAAAATGTCAGTGGTCTAGGAACTATCGTAGGTTTAGTCAAAAAAAAAAAAAAAAGAATATACATATTTATCAAAACAAAAAACAGCGTTGTAACACCAAAATCTTTAAAACTGACGACGACTGCAATTAATATAAATTGCTCTTATGTTAATTATTGTTTACAGATAAAAATGAAACTTTTCAGTTTTTTAATATCATTCGTCTATGTAAAAGTTTCAACATACAATTTCGGTAATTATTTTATTTCCACGCTTACCTATTCGCGATAGTTGTAAATTAAGAGAAAAAAAAAAACAATCAATATTTCAATTGTTTTCACAGTAGGTATATTATTGAAGGATGTTTTCATAACAAGTCGGTATGACATTTTCGGTTTTACAAAAATAACGCTTTAAAATTTTACCGTTTTTTATACATATTTTTACATATTTTAATACAAACGCACACATCGAGCTTGCTTATAATATGAATATATTACAGAAGATAATTTTCTATTAAGTAATTAGTAAAATTATTCTTATTACAAGCAAGCTCGACGTGTGCGTCCGTAATAAATTATGTAAAAAATATTTATAAAATCGGTAAAAATTTAAAACGTTATTCTTATAAAACAATAAAATGTTACCGACTTGCAAATGGAAACATATTCTCCGTACGGTAGTCCACTGTAAGAAAAGTGAAATATTCATTTCTTTTCTTTTTTTTTTCAACTACCTCAAGTAGGCGGGTGTGGAAATAAAATAATTAATTGTATTGTACGCCGAAACATTTACAAAGACAAATGATATTAAACAACTCAAACGTTTCATTTTTATCTGTAAATATTAATTAACATAGAAGCAAACGATACGAGTAACAGTCGCCGCCAGTTGTGAAGGATTTGGCATTACAAGACTGTGTTTTTTTTTTTTTTTGATAAATATATATATATATTATATTTCTTTTCGTGTTGACGAAAACCCACGATATTTCCTAGGCCGCTAAATTGATTTTAACATGGATATATTATTATATTTTTGGCCTGTGGGTCATTCAATAATAATAATTAGCGTCACGGCACGGTATATGCAACGCTATCTGGCCACAAAAAATTGTAGACAGAGGAAAGGAAGGGGGGGAGGAGGGGAGGGACACGAGTCAGGTGAATTTGACTCATTGCCCAAAAAACATCCACGTTACATTTTTTTTACATAATAGCTGTAATCATTTTTGTCGTATGGCTAGATAGAAATAGTAATTGAAACTTGAAAGCTAATGTGCTAGGCGAAAATTTGTAATTTATAAATCCCAATAGAGGTGCACAAAATCGGTAGTTTGATGTAGGTATTTCAAAAAAAGAAAATCGAAAATAGATCTCTTTCAACTAGTTAAAATAATATATTATGTATTGGGCTGCATTATTTATGTTACAAAATATAGACAAATGTTTAACTGGACGTTTAACGTTTTAATTAATAATATCTTTAATAGACACTATACTCTAGAGTTTACTTTTAAGGTAACATAGGACACCTGAATCCTAATTATCATATGTCTCAAAGTGACTACGCACACACGCTTATTAAGTACAGAAAAATAATAACAATTTTTATAAACAAAAATAGATTTGAATTAGAGTTTATTTTAAGAATGATGATGGCAATTTTATTGGTAAAATTAGTACCCATTCGAGTCATTTATACAGTCAAGGGATAGAACCACATTACTAGAACTTTTTACTAAAAATTTAATTTCATACAAACAGTCATCGATTCAAATATACTATTTTGTCGTGTAGAAATTTGTTTAATTTTTCAAGATTACCCAAATAGAATGAATCTACTTATTAGTTATTTAAAAAAAAAAGAATATCTGTTTTCTATCTATTACGGCCGGGGTCGGATAAGCCTAACGGAAGAAAATAATAAATTAATATAAATTTAAAAAAACATGGAAACCGTTAAGTTTTAAAACTATAACGTAATAATAACTTCATCATTTACATTGTTTTAGTCTTTAAAAAAAAAAAAATTATAAACTGTCCATTTAGTCAGTCTGAATATTCATTCAGTCACGACGACATCATCCACGACCATCGCATCTACTTTGTCTTTCGCTTCAATGTTTTGTATACTAGCAATTCTTTTAACTACCATGCTCGAGTATTGGTTAAAATCATATCTAAAATAATTAAAAAAAATTAATACGGCATGTTGCGTCGTCTTAGGCGAGATGACCAAACTTTGGTTTTAAAAACCCATAGCCAATATTTATAAGCGTAGCAACAAATAAAATTTATTTTTATTTTTTCTTATACTTTAGACAAATTCATTTAACTCTTATGTTAGATTTTTGTGTAACATTAAAATAACAGTTTGATTAAGTTGGCGTTAGTTTGTTAAAGACTTTATCCAGTGAACGTAAAAACTCCATGTGATGTGTAATTCCAGCCGAAATCACTATCCGAATCGAACTACTGGTTCTGCGTAATGATAAACTTTATAACGAGTAACCGCTTCGACGACATTGTAGATATAACAATTTATTGACTTGGTGCCTTGGCTATAGTAAATTGTCGATTGTCCGAATAACAAACAGAAATGAAAGCTTTGGGTGAAAAAAAAACAAAACAGTTATAAATTTGTAATAATTATTATAATACTACTAATTAGGTATCGAATAGTGTATACTTTGCTAGATTTTATTTCGCTGTTATGAAATCAGTATTGTTTTGGCCGGTCTCTTAAGTTGTTTCTACTTTCAGCGCTTCCCACTCGAGTCGACACACAAACGTAAAAGACAATAATTGGCCAACCAGCATGGCCACTACTTTTTTGTTGTCCTGGCGAAAAACAACGGGTACTCTGTCATAATGTTAAATGGCCATTTAATTTTAGATTAAAATTATAAGCATTTAAATACGATCAATAATAAATTATATTTTGGGTTAACCTACCTGCTCAACATCATTATTAGGTCTAGATAATGTTTTTTTAAAAGCTACGATCACAATTCAGTCTGTATGTCTCGTCGGTGAATAAGAATGAAAATTATGGTAATTTTCTATTTTGTACAACCTGATTGTGGCGTCTTTACTGCACACCACAAATAAGGTTAGGCTGAAAAACAAAAAAGGTAATACCATTCAATGCAATAATAACTCTTGTGTATTATTTCTAACCAGGAACTGTTGTGTTGTGGAATATGTCCCGAGTTCCATTGCAAACTTATGTGACTGGCTGTTGAAGAGACCCGGTATTTGCAGTAGGAAAACTAAAATAAAAATTGAGTTTACCATGAATCATAACACAAATGACATGATAAACCTTAAGATGTACCTATTATTATGTATATTGCTAATTAGTCTGAACATATCTGCTTCACCAACTAAATACGACACACAAATAAATGGATTAAAATTTAAAAAATAAACACAAACAAATAAGTATTTGTAATTAGGTATATAATATAAATAGTCTTCAATCAGAAAGGATCGCTTATTTTTTTAAATTCTACTTGGATAGACGATTTTTCTGACTGAACTTACACGATAACTTTGGAAAACTTACAACAAACATAAATAAACAAGTATATTAATTCATAATATATTATGTACTATTTCATACCTTATAATCTCATTGTGTATAAATTGTAATCCTCGTTTTTACCGACCAAACACTTCACAGTTCACACGATAATATTGTATTATGGAAAGCAAGGAATATTGAAATTTGATAATTGAAAAAATGATTTTGTTTCATTAATAATTTGAAATTCCGGTTTGGTATTTATATGTATGAAGTTAGCAATATATGATAACAATTATTTTCCTCCGAACCGAATAATTGTTATCAGAAATTGATAAAATGTTATCGCTAACTTCATACGCGTCAGATTTGAATAGTAATGAGAAAAATGATTTTCAAGGAGAATCAAATAAAATGCCTCCAAACTAATTCAAATTACCAGAGTTTACTGGAAATGCTATTGCCTTCGTAGCTGGATAAATAACTATAAGAATGGTGAGTCAATAATTTTTCCAAAAAATGAAAATAAAAACTAAATAACAATACCACTTACCAGCTGATATAAATATTTGTCATGTAATAGGTGAGCAATCGGATAAACTGTATTGAATGTTTATCATCTTTGTACAAAGGCAATGCAAATGACTCAAACCAATTACTCTATCATACTTTTCTTATAATTATTATATATATGTATATTACAATTAACTAAAAAGTGTTCAACTTCATTCAACAAAACCTACTCCTAGTTTTACGTTACAAACATTGGTCATCCGACCGGTGCACTACAGAGGCTTGGATGTTGTCATGCCGTTGTTGTTGGAAAATATCCCTCCAAGTGCAAGATTATTTAAACATACAGTTTGAATCGAGGTGGATCAGTACTGATGGTCCGCTTACGTGGCCACTGCGCTCTCCAGGCTTAACTCATCTGGATTTTTTTTTGTGGGGATATTTGAAAAATAAGGTCTACAGTTCTCAGCCAACTTCATTTGAACAGTCAAAAGAAAAGATTACCGAGGCATGTAAAACTGTAACAAAAGAAATGTTAAGCTTTGTAACAAACTCCTCAATGGTTGAACGTTACGTGCAATGTGTTCAACACGATAGTGTCCATTTCGAAACTTCTAATAACTTAAAAACTTATTTTATTTAAAAATGGTGCAAAATATTAAAATAAACTATACAGTTTACTATTTGCGTTACTACTTTTTGTTAGTGATAAAATGGACATAATGGTCATTATCATACATTTACCTATTAACGCTATCATTATTTAGTAAATGATCCAACATGTGTTCCATACTAATTTAGTGCCATGTTTTTCATAATAGCAAATACACAAATTTATCCTAAATGCCTACCTCGGTAGTAAAGAAAATAGAGAAATAAATAAAAAGTACATAACTATCAAGTACTTTTTTTGGTTATTTTAATTAACATGGTAAACAATTAATACTGCATCTCTCTTTAATTAGTCAACACCTATAACAAACTAATTTCGATGACAAAATGTCCATAATATATAATAATAATGCAAAATCCGGGTTATATCAAAACTAATTCAAAGTCGATAAAAAAAAACTATTTTAAACAGAAAAAGAGCAACTAAATATTATAAATAAAAACATTTTTTTTAATTGTTCAAGGGAACAAGATAAGTTTTTTGCCATCTTTTCTCTATTTAATCAACTTAAGGATAGATTTTCTTCTATATTTATATTATACATCACTAGTAACAGAGCTTCTTGCATGTTAAACAAATTAAAATAGGTACATAATAATGATTTATTATTTTAACCAATATAGTAATAGTACTCTAAATACACAGTAAAGTAACTCAAATTTTGTTTTTTATTCCAAAACCGGCGGGTTTTAAAATTCCCAACAAAAGTAATAGCATTGATTACTTCAACATTGTTATTCTCTTTATCCCTAATTGAACATAATATTAAGTTTCAGTAAAGAAAACTAATTCTATTATTAATCAAAATAAATGTCTGTAATTTTAAGCGTACCCGGAGTGCTGTACCTATTGTCAATAGGCTATTGGCTATTACATTAAAATTACTACAAAATAAATTATTAATATAATAGATCATTTAAAATTACATAATCATGTGCTTAAATAAGTAAGACAAGCCGATTGCATTCGCCAACGACCATACCACGTTGAATACACCAGTTCTCGTCCGATCACTGAAGTTAAGCAACGTCGGGCGTAGTTAGTACTTGGATGGGTGACCGCTTGGGAACACTACGTGCCGTTGGCAATTTTTTGCATATTTATTTTCTTAAATATTTTTGTTTTTATTACTTTAATAGACGTTAGAGCCAACACCTACATCACTTATTTTTATCATGCACATATTTTGATAAATTTTAAAAATATTTTTACTGAATTTTTGAAAAGGTAATCCATATTAAAATAAAAACTGCAAATCCAGTATACATCAGTAAATACAAACATACATTTTCATGAACATTATTTTGAATTTTAATCATATTAATAATCCATAGAATAATGTAGTTATTGTTAATTTTAGTTTGCCTTTATCCTTCTACTGCTTTTTTTTTTTTGAACTGGTTAATATTTAAAAAATGTATTAAGTACCAGTAGTTAATGTTAATGTAACCCAAATGTTATGTGTTTGGTTGAGTTTTTATGTATGATTTCGTGTGTTGGATTAAACGAACACTGTTTAGTATAGGAATATAGAAATGACTTACCGAGAACACGGACTGGGGTTTGTCCACAATTAAATTAAATTTTTTTTTTTTTTATTGGTCTTTATTTAAGTACATCAGCAACTAAGGCCATTAGGGTACATGCTAATTTTATATTAAACTATATAGTTCAGTTTTTTTAAGAAAACAAAGTTCATGACATTATCTTGAGCGTTGGCTTGACTCAACGCCTTTCATAGTTTAAAAAAAAAAGGACATTTCTGTTTTTTTACTATTTAGGTACTCTCCAAGTGAAAAGGATGTCTTGCTTATTACTCATAACGGTTAGGTAATGTCAGGTAACCTTTTTCACAAAAGCCCGAATGGAGTCGTATATGAATTGTTTTTCACGGTTTGAAATTAAGATACAACGATTATTTTCGATCATTGCCTTTTCTATATAATATGATTTTAGAAATCCCGAACAACTGAATAAACCCATAAGGAAACAATAGTTTTCAAAAGTCATTGCTGGTTCGTTTCCACCTTAAAAAATAAAAAAGTTTTAATAATTTTTGTTTTTTTAATTTAGCTTACTAGATGGCTTTATTGTGTCAGACATAACTAATGCACGTGTATAAGTTATAACGCTAACTAATTGGTGTTAATATGTTATATTGTTGTGAATTATTAAATATGAAATATATTTTGTAGACAAATTTATAATAGACTTATTGTGCCCATAGAAAAAAAAAATAATGAATAAAAACTAAATTCCAAAGACAAACTAAACGTATGTTAGAAAAATAGACTATTAATAATAAGTGTTATGACAGTTCTATACTTGTATTATTATAAAAAAAAAAAACTAAAAGTTGTGTTAATGTCATAAAAACAAATCCTGGATATATATGTCTATACCTACTAATAAATCAATTATTATTAATTGTTATTATTATATATCACCATTGTCATTAAAAAATTGTC